CTGAATGAAGATGGCTTACTTGTGTATGTGACGATGCTAGTGGTGACGTCGCCTTGACAACCCACACCCGAAAAGAGAAGGTTTCATGGAGGAATGTGCAAAAACAGAGGCACTAAGAAGAGAAATTACCTTCCAGAAAGTATGTTTTCAAGTTGGAACGCAAGTTGGAATGATTGGCATGTAAAGTATAATACCTATGAATAGCCAACACAAAAAGCAAAAAACTCACTGCTGCTATGCATTCAGGTGAAAGTTAGTTCAAATACCACGTAAACACATATTTCTGTGTGGGTGGACAATATTGACAAATTAATGTCTTCATATTTTGCATTATCTCAATAGCAATATTCAGATAATATTAAAACAATCATCTTTATGTCTAAGTTAAGGTTCAAATCTAGCAGAAAATGTGAAATTACCATAAAATTAACCACAAGGGGCAGAAATATCATTCCGAATTAGATTATAGAGTTCGATATATCTCACACGTTGAATGTAATTTTTAAAAATATCAATAAGAAATCACATGACAGCAGCAGCATCCAGGTTCTTTGGTACACAAGGCTGCAGAATGTCCAAGTGCCAAAACAGGTGTACCTTATAAAGTGGCCACTGAGTCTGTTTACCTCAGTGTCTGCGTTGGAAGGTGCATGTGTAGCTTCCTTGTGGTCTGTCTCAATAGGCTGCTGTCTATCTCTGTGGGCCCACACTGACAGAGATGCACTGTGCTGTACTGTGTGTCTTTGCTGTTTGCTCTGGACCAGTGAGTGGGGGTCAAAAACAAGTCAAGAAGACCAAGAAGACACTGTCCTCTATACATTCATTCTATTGGAATTAAACCAGAATGCTCTATTTATTTACTTGTTTTTAAATGTGAGGTAGATCTGTAAAATTGTCCAAGGTACAACAGACTTTACTGGATAGCTTTATGCAAAATATACCGTATTTCTTTGGTTAGAAAAATCTTTAAAGCAAAAGTAAGATATCGTTCAAAATATTCACAGTCCAACACCCAAATGTTTTACACTAATTATAGAAAGCTTCAGAAAATGTTTGTGCAAAAGTAATAAAGGCCCAATGATAAATAATAGAAAGATCAGATGAGTTTGAAAAAGAGAAGTGTTTGATACTATATTCTGTATTAAGGGTAAGACCTGGCAATGAATTGGATTTTAATTGAGATATAGATTCAGTCAATCATAATTGTCATTGATATGCTTGGATCTTCTTAATCAAGAGGTCTACACAAGTCAGTATTGCTTATGTTCAGTAAATTAATACTGAAAGCTATTTTTTTGAGGTTGTAACATGACATAAGAAGATTTAAAATCAGGAGGATGCAAATCATATTGCCTAGTCCTAATCTATTCCTTGAATGACCATTGTGAGGTAAGGTGTGTGTTGACACTCAAACTTTTATCACCCCAATACATGAAAGTGAATGAAAATAATTACTGGAATATTCTTGGTGGAAATTTCATCATTGTCAATCAATGACTAAAATCTCTGGCAGTATTTTAAAGAGAGAAAATTCCTGCAGCTCTCTCACGCACAGGCTGACTGTTGTGGGAAAAGTCAAATTCCTAATAGCTTCCTCATCATACTTACATGCAAACACTCGCTGGCTATGTTGTGGTTTCCCCAAAGGTTATCTATAAGCGATCTTAAAGTCATTATACCTGTAAGCCTTTATGTTTGACCTCCTGGGTAAAAAAAACAACAACACTGCAATATCTGCCTTATAAACATCAATTGGCAGATGACAGATAACAAATGTATAATTAGAATGAAGAGTTTGGGTAATAATACATTTTAGAGACACTGGGAATTATAGGTTTTTGGTTGGACATGTCTGCATGTACTTGCAGCATATTGAAAGATTTGAAATGCTAGGCACATCAAATACAGTAAATTGTGTTATTTATGATTTATGACAAATCTTCTTTCCATTTGGAGGCAGCAACCAGGAACCCTCTACTAAAGTTCAGTCATTTGCATAGTGATTTGCCATTTGATTTTATTAAAAAGTCATATCCTCTCCTTACCACTCATTTAAGCTAGTCATATGTTTATATAACCAAAACTGAAATTTTGATTCTATAAAATAGGCCCAACATTGATACCACAATTATAATAAACACAACAGTCATTTTAAACACAATATAATAGTACTTTCTTTGTGTAACCATGTGGTCTAATACTACTTCTGATAAAGTTCAAGGCTGTTACTGTAGTAAATTAAAACTGTTCAGGAAAGGTAAAAAAATTGTCCTGTTTATTTTTTGTATTGATAATTCAAAGGAGGATCAATACAAAAAATTAGTATCAAGTTTCAAGTTTTATTATTGATTAGCATCAGATTTTCAATACTTTAGACAACCCTTGTCAAACCATGGTCAGAACTGCATACACTTGAAATATAAAGGAGTAAAGAACAGTTAAAATTATATATATAAAAAAAACAAAATCACTTCACCTAGTTTTCTTCTCAGTAGCCTCTTTCTCACACATAAACACATACACCTCCAAAACAAAGGTGTCATTTTGCTCAGTAAGGGTCAGCAGTTCTCTCCATCAGACTGGTGCTTGTTCTTGGTCCGAGCTCAGGCCACCCTCTCCTGGCTCCACCGGCCCCCCAGCGCACCCCCCTTACCCCCACCACCCTGGAGACAAGCTCCCCATTGTTCACGCACTACTAGTAAATGACAGTTCTTCAGTCTCGGACAAACTTCACTGCCCATGCAAACAAATACAGAGGCGCACAACAGATTTGCACTAACCTCATGGAAATCATTAATAGGTTATCATTACATTTGGTAGTTCATCCATGTAATTTAGAACTACATGAGGTAATGCTGAGGGAATGCATACAATATAAGAGCAACGGTATAAATTATGTTATAATTTATGCTGGACATCAAGTTGGTTTCCATGTCATTCACTCAGCTACCTAGGTTCAAACAATGTGACAAGCTCCATGGTGACACTTTGGCTTGGATATGATTAACTACCACTCCACTTAAGCCCATAAACAGACTATTAACACTTGACCACAGCAACTGGATCTGTTTGCCCGAGCCACGTTGTCAGTGCAGGAATGTGTGGTTAGTAACGAGAATATTAAGGCTTGTACTGAAAAATTCATAGCTCATAATATTCACAGACCTGTCAATTCTGTTTATCAAATTAAGTTTATTTACAGTAGTAAGGACAATACCCAGATCTCTTTAATTAATTATGTGATAGTAAGTGCAATGTTAAAATATTGTCTATATGTTTACTTACTATATCATATGTGATGATGAATAAAGTATGTGATGATTTAAGTGGTTATAACAATATCAGTCTACAGAAGAGAGTTAGAATGTGTCATTTAAAGTGTATGATTTTGGACTATAATTTGTGTAATACATGAGAGAGTGCTGAGAGCGTTTAAGGTTTAAGTGCAGTAAATGCAGGGCTGTCAGACTGTGACCCTGTGTGTGATCAGCTCACTAATGCGGTTCACCACAAGAGTATCATATGACAGCACAGGGAGCATGGGCAGCTTGTGAGAAAGTCAAGTCCTGCTGTCTGAATCCTAACCTCACTCCACTGAGCTTTGAGCTGCAGGATCAACATTCCCAATATATTATCTAAGTTTGTTTGACCACATACAGGAGTACCTACTGATGTACTGATGTCTCTGTGGTAGTGATAACTGTGTGCAGGACAGACTAAGGACGACCAGGTCAGGTCAACAGACATGCTCCCGCTCTGTCATTCAAAGCACAAAGGGAGGAGGAGGAAGAAGAGGCACAAGTTGTGAGGAGTAAAAAAGGCCTGGTGTTTAGTCAAGGCCCGCTCTCTGACACAAAGTCCGTCTTTGTCTCCCTCCCAGGGTGCCACATAAAGGAATTCTTGTGTGTCGGGGGCTCTGACCGAGTTTATTTGACACTTCAGCTCCCTTTGTCCAGCAAGTGTCCCACCGTCAATGCTGGCCATGAGAGTCACTTGGCATTAGACAGAGGGTCCCTCTTCAGTGGAGAAAGGGGGTCTTGTTTGGAGAAGATTTTTAATGGTGGGGAGTGTGGGGGGGTCAGTGTCAGAGGAGGGCCAGCCTGGTCTGTGCACTCTGCTGTATACGCACATATAGTGGGGCTCTGTCCCTGACCAACAAAAGATGGAATTCTTTATTCCAGAGGAAGGAGATGTGGGAGCTGATGAGAGATGCTTCAGGGAAGTGGACACTTGTACTGCTCTATGTATAGGCATTCTGCTGGACAGCTGTATGAGGGCATCTGACCTCATCTCAGGGACACATTATGAAGATGTGGAGTCTCTCAGCTAACAGCAGATTTACTATACTGGCACACAGCTCACACTGAGGCAGCTGAAGCCTGCCCCTGTCTCACCTGAATGAAGCCACTGTGAAACAGGTGGGTGGACGACTGACCAACCCACTGTAGACACTGTATCACACTGTTCATGTGTTTGGCTGCACTCAGTGCTCAAGTCTGACACAGTCCAGGGCTGTGTGCACCTGGCACTACAGGTGTATGGACAGATCATGTCTGGAACTCCTTCTACAGGACATGACAGACATCACTGCCAGGTTTACAGTTCAAAACTATAAGACTGACTGCTTGGTGTTCAAAGGCTTCATAAATAACTGCACTGTGGCACAACAGGTGGACGTGAACCTATGAGGAACCACTGTCAAACCACACACACCCCTCTCTGTACACTGTACAATACACACACAGAGGAGCAGACTGTGCACCAAATGGGACAAGCATTACATGACAGGTCAGAGTCACTTAACACATCATTAGGACTTTTACCCACAAAAAAACTATGACTTCACTTTACTTTCAGAGGATAGACTTTACAGTCTATGATTAAATAACTGTTATGACAGTTCACTATAGTTCACGCTACTGAAAGAAAGTAGAGGTAAAAATCCACAATACGTTACACACAAGCCTGATTTGGGGATTTGTAAAGTATCTTTGGCTTACCTGACTGGCCATGATAATCCCGTGCGGTAAAAGTGTCATTATCCACTACGAGGGACAGATTTCTCAAATAGACTATATCCAAGGATGTTATTCGTCATTGGGCCAAAATGAACTGAGGACCTCACGAAATGGGTCATATGTGACAGTGGCACGCGTCACGTATTGTGCACGTCCAGCAGTTGGACCTGAGTGCACAAACGGGCAAGTGTTGGAACGGGACATCCCGATGTATCCACCAAGACCACAGCTGGAGTACAGCATCCATCTACTGTTCCCACCGCGATGAAGTTATACCTCCACGTCCCAGAAACTATATAATCCGTTGTGCGTAAAATCCTTAGGTCCGTTTTGAATAAGTGCGAGTAAACATCGATATTTCCACTGGGAATCAAAAATGAAAGTTGGTCATACATGTCCACTGAGTCGTTAATCCACCCACTCGTATTCCTGCGTACGTCCTGATGGGATGCGCTCCAGTCCATCGCCTCATACACACTGAGCCATAGTGGGAGCGAAAGAGGCAGCACATGTTACTCTGAAGCAACGTAGTCGCGCAAAGCATCATGGGCAATGTAGTTTTTGCGTTTAGGGTCACACGTTGCAAAGGCTACATCAACGAGCAATTTTTCACATTTTATTTTTCTGCAGTTTTTGCTTTTTTAAATACACAAAATTTCTGTCAAACCTGCAAATGTATATTGTGTAAACACCATCTTGCGTGTTTTACATGCAAGACAAAGTTTTGGGGAAAAAAATTTGTTTTAAAAAGACTGTTTAATTACACAATACAATATATTTTGCACTTTTTTGTTTGTTTTCAGAATACTTTGGATACTTGTATAAATTGGATTGCATTAAATTACAGTGTTACTGCAGTTCTAGTATTAAAACAGCAGTAATACTTGTTTCACCATTTGTTACAGATTTACACTGATTAGAGAAGTTAAAATCACAGTAACCACAATAGCTTTTGCCCTTTATTTCTGAAAATTACTGGTGAACAGTAAATAGTACTCGCAAATATTACAATTTAATCCTTTGGTTTTAGAAAAGTAGTTGTATTCTGAATACCAACAAATACTACACAGAAAAGTCTTAGTACAAAGTTACACATTTTTAGTTTGGCCACGCATACAAGAAGCTATATGAAATACTGATTATAGATTTTGTTGTTTTAATATAGGTTAATCCAAGTTAGTTTAAGTGTTGGTTATTGTTATGTCATGAGAGCCTGGTGTTTGGATCAGTTGCCGTCACTCATCACCTGTCCGTCAGATGCCAAGTTGCGTGTGAGCAGCGTGTAGTGTGAGTGAGTAATAATGATCCGCACCTCGCTCAGATACTGAGATGTCAGTGCCTTGAATCACCTCCCTATGAATGAATCTCTTGTCTTGTCTCTCTCTTACCACACTTTCATGTCCTAACCACCTCCAGGCATGCTTGTATTTCAAGGATCACAGCTTTCCCCAAAAATACAAAACATGGACTGGATTTGCTCTTGAATGGAGGAATGGAGAATTGATTTGATATAGGGAAATTAGGGTACTCTATAACAAGTAATGTTAATAATAATTTAATGAATAAACAACATGGACTGTGAAAGAAATTACTGCATATTATTACAACTACATATTAAAATTTCTAACCTGCAATAAACCCTTGTGACCATATGGCAAAGCAAGAGTATACAATACATTTTAAAAGCTAATTGTAATGGTGATCAAAATGTGCATAAGCCAAAAGTATGTTTAAATGGGCTACGCTGTAAATGTCAAAAATAAAATCCCCATAGTGGTCAAAGCCATCTCAGAGTGTCTGTAAATTATGAAAAGCACAATACAATTAACAATGCAGTTAACTCAGATTCAATAATATAAATACAAAGAATAAAACTGTGGGAATAATTAATTTATGCAGAAAGCTATGTCTTGAATGCTTTAAAATTTTGAGTATAAATACAAAATACATACAAACAAATATAAAATGAATTATGGGCAGGGTTAAAAGTTTGTGCAAAATATATCATTAATAATGCCTCATATGCCCCAGTTTGTGTGATAAATGGATCATAAATTCAAGTCTGTTCTGCTCCCTTTGCAGCTGCTCCCGTTCCAGTCCTGTTTTTCCTCTGGCGTCTCATCTGGCCATCCTCCAGGACACTTGGGGAGCACCTGAACTGCACGCGATTCTGTCAATTGCCTGCACTTGATGGCTTTCTTGTGTGCAGGGTGAGAAGTTGCTTGAGGTTGTAGAGCAGAGCATTGCGTGACTGCAGCTCGGGATGAAAACACAAAGACATTGTTTTCAGTGATCAAACCCCCTTTATAGTAACTCTACTGCATTCCTGTCTCGCATTCCAAAGCCACCGCTGCTGCCGTGAGAAGAAGATGACTTTTTCCTCTTGAGGAAGAAAAAAAAAGAATGAAAGGGTCACTGCTGCTTCACTGTGCTGACCCATCACTGTGGTCATCAGGGCTAATCTTGAATAAGAATCATTTAGGCTGTGTGGGTCCACTGCAGCTAATTCAGAATCCAAACAAAAGATGATTGAGATTGAGATGAGAGTTTGTGGCATTTCAACTATTTTGAGCGCAACATGTGGTTCTTGACTCAGTGCTCTCTGCAGAGTAATACTGCATGCAGGTTGTGTGAGCAAGTGAGACAGCAGAAATCGTAAGGTAATTATAATACATAGACTATTACAACGAAAATAGTTCTCTTTTGTATGCATATGCAAAATACTAGAAAGGCATGACTATTAATGTCTGATTCTATAGAGCTATCTGTGACAATAATGATTTTTGATAATCAATTATTTCTGTTTTTCTTTATTTCATAAACAGGTGGAGAAGTGCAAGTACATTTCTAGTTTGTTTGTTCACTTTCTAATCAAAATCTAACAGGATCACATCTGGACAATATGACAACACAATTTTTCACGATTCTTTTTCCACATATTGGTTGACCATGATTTTCTGTACAGTTTTTCATATAAAAATTGTTTGCAATTCAGTTTGCAATTCTTGAAAATAAGCAAATACTTAATCAGTGCCATTCAAAAGAAAAAGTCTAATTTGTAAAGCCTGCTTAAAACCACATGTTTTTACTACAGGATTTGCTGTGGACCATATAATTAAAAACACTGATCACTGATGCTTTGAAATAACAGAATATCAGTCTTAATTAAAATCACATTAATTCCACAGCCTTGATCACATCTCACTTGAGGTGCACTCATTCAGTCTAGAAACAGTAACATTATGAGCTGAAGTTCATCCAGGCTTGCTCACCTTGGCAAAACAAGAAAGTTCTTTTTGAGCAGTTGCCACTGGCTGCATATTCACGTCAGATGTTTTTCTGACACAAACTTATTTAAACAAATGACCATCAAAGCCACAGACTGGAAAACAAACCCCTTTAGGAGTGTGGAGTATTTGATTATATTGAATGATGGCCGCTGCTTGTTGGTGCTTGCATGTTTCCAGGCTTGACCTTTGTATCCCAGGAGCTGAACAAGAGCCTCAGTCATATTTCCAGTGTGTGATACAAACTGCAGAACATTCATTACTCAGACAGAGAGGGGCTTTAGAGGCACTGTTTGGACTGCCCTATCCTCTTGTATCTCTTTGACTACCTCCGACACAAGGCGGCATTCACCCACACTAGAACAAATGTTTCCTTATGTGCTGAGTTGGGGCACTGTGGGAGAGAGAGAGGACGGCAACATTGAGGTTACAACAGCACAATGGACATTTTATAATAATCTATACTGTCCTATACTAAAGATAGTAGCTTTTCCACTGCTACACAGAGCTGCAGGTGCTATTTTGGTTCAATTCGTCGGCCAAATCCCATTCTGGAAAAGCTGGTGTCAGCATTTTGATGTAATTCCAATTATAGCCAATTTGCTCATTTCCGTCCGGCCTCTTTCTGGGACTGGTGAGTGCAAAAGCCAAACAAAGGTCACGCAGAGGGTTTAAATGTGACGGAAGTGGAGATTACTGGTGTGAAAAGTTCTATAGATAGAAGTGTGCAAGCCTTTTTTTTAATACATGGAGAAATACTCTTGTGTCATAAGGCTGTTGGATACTCCTTCAATTGCACCAATATTTCACGGTGTTCTATAAAATACTGTAAAATAAAATGAGTTCTGGCTGTAGAATTTGGACAGCTGCTTTAACTGGACCAAAGGGGAATTTTCCCTGGATAAACACACCCTTTGCTGAATGGCCAAGAGCCACAGGTGCATGAAGTTTATGCAGTATTTTATGACAAAGTGAAAAAGAAACATAAATGTAAATGAATTTTTTTAAAAGAGGTAAATTGATGGAAACTTCTGATGTAAAGCACAGTGAAAAAGTGTAGTCAAATACTTTGATTAAATGATTAGCCATAAAGTACATCTCCGACATGTTAGTGCCATATGAACCATTTGTCACTCTACGAACCTCAGGGACCGGCCGCCTGCTGGTGCCCAGAATCAGGACTAAACATGGGAAGTCAGTGTTTCAGTTTTACGCAACTAAGATCTGGAACAGTCTTCCTAGTTTGTATTGTGATTTTAATGTCTTTCTTCTTCTGTGAAGAACTTCGAATAACAGACAAATTATGCTATATAAATAAACTTTCCTTGCTTAAAAAATGTTAGTGACATGTTAGAAAATTAGTTTATAAGTATTGTAAATATCTGGTGGCTATAATTTTTGAACTTCAAAATAAAACATTTTACGGGAAATGAGAATCAAATGAATAAAGATGCACAACCCATCATATAATCCTGTTAGAAATATATGAAAAAATGGCGTATGCCCATTTGTAAATCATGTAAAGTCTAATATGCAGCGTTAGTGTTTTCTTAGCTGTAGCAGCTGGGAGTGTGCCGTGGAGCTGTGCGTGACTAGCTCAGATACACCTGTCTCTGGCTCAGGTACGGAGGGGAGCCGGCACGCAGGGGCCTGCCACATGAACAATGCAGCCTATTGTACCTGTGCTGGGGCTGCAGACGCTCATAGCACAGCCAACCCCACAGCGTGTGTGAGAGAGAGAGAGGGAGAGAGGGAGACAGAGAGGGGGACAGAGAGCGAGAGAGAAGGGGGTGAGAGAGAGTGAGAGGGAGAGAGGGAGGGGAGAGTTAGAGAGACACACAGAGAGAGAAGGGGGGAGGAAAACACACCAGTGCTTCTCACATAATCACACCAAAGATACAGGCAAATTATTTATAGTACACATATTGTACCAACCGCAGGCGCCCCAGGACTAATCCCGATAACTCTGTCTTTTACACGCAAGCTGACAATCACACCCTGACTGACACCTCTGCACTTATCAATCATGGATTTGATGTATGTGCCATTCTCTATACCAAAGAGTCTATAAATAAGATTGAATATAATATTTAATATAATATTTAAATAATAATAATAATATGAATCAAATGTATAACCAG